AGGGGACACTCCCCCCTCCAATAAGTGGCGCCACATCATCAACACCCACCAAACCACAAAAGCCTCTTTCTCCCAAATTGGCTAATTGCGTTCAGTGTTGTCAACTTCCGTGACATGTACACACACGGTTGGAGGGTTCCCTCCTCATTGGCCTGGAGAAGTACTGCCCCTACTGCCACCTCGCTGGCATCCACCTGTACCACGAATGGTTTGGATGGGTCTGGATGCCATAAGATTGGTTCCCTAGGGAACAAGTCTTTCAACTGTTTGAATGCCTCTTGGCAAGTGGTTGTCCACGTGACAAGGTAACTTGGATATGGGGTTTTAGTCAGGTGTTTAGTCCGCAATAGATCCGTGAATGGAAGTGCTACCTGGGCAAATGATGGTATAAATTGATGGTAGAAGTTAGGAAACCCCAAAAAACTTTGTAATTGTTTTCTGGTTTTAGGGTCTTGTCAATCTAAACCGCCTTGACCTTATTGGGGTCCATCTCCACACCTTTTGGTGATATTCTGAAGCCGAGATAGTCCAGGGATGTCTTGTGGAACTCACACTTGGAGAGTTTAACATATAAGTGAGCGTTCAACAGTTTACATAACACTTGCCGTACCAACTGGGCATGTTCTTTCATAGACCGGGTGTATATGAGGATGTCGTCCAAATAGACGAGCACCCCCTTATACAAGTGTTCATGCAGCACCTCATTGATGAACTGCATGAACACTGCCGGTGCGCCTTGGAGTCCAAATGGCATCACTCTATACTAATAACTCCCCAGGGGACAGTTAAAAGCCGTTTTCCATTCATCCCCAGCCTTAATCCTGACCCTGTAATAGGCTTCACAGAGATCTAACTTCATGAATTAACAACCTTCTGACAATCGAGCCATCATGTCTTTTAGGAAGGGGAGGGGGTATTAATGCTCTACGCAAACCACATTGATTCCCTTAAAATCCACACATAGACATAACCCACCATCTTTTTCCTCCCTAAATAACTACCCTGGACCTAGCAGGCTGGATGAAGTCCCTCTTGAGATTCTTCTCAATATCCCTAGCCCTAATGATTCTGTCAGGTTCCAAACAGAATGCAAAAGAAAGGACACAAACCTGGTCTGTTGCTGCCTTCTTTTATTAACTTCCTGGCATGTACTGACAATCTCTATTGAATCTTTTGTTAGGGCTACATGCCCATGCTCCCTGCTACCTTTTATACAATAAACACCAACCCTCCCATCATCCAATCACTTGGGTCTTTCCTCCCACGTGTCCCAGAGTAATTGCTCTCGACTTTAAGCCAGCATATAGTTACACCCCCAGCTTGCCTGCTTGCCAAAACCTCCTACCTAATCGGCTGGGTTCTTCCTCCTCCAGCCCCACCCACTGCCTTTTAGGCCTCTTTCGGCCCACTCTGCCATCCTGGGTGATGTCATCACCATGCCCCTCAGCTGTTTGGCAGCCATGTGGCATCCTGGCAGTTCAGCAAGGTTTCTCGGACCGGTCACATTCTGGTTGCTTCTGGCACAGGTGAGGTTCAGCGTGGCCACAGAGCTTACATCTCTCGATGTCGTGACGTTTCAGCTGGGCTTGCTGGGATGGTGACTGTGCTGGACGTTGGACGCATGACTCCCTCCGAATGGCAGCTCTGGGCCGGCTGGCCCGCCGGAGCTGACATCCACCTTGTTGTTGGTTGTCCTCTTCTCTTTTCTTTTATCTTTCCCAACATTATAGTCTTCTCCAAAGAATCAGGTCTTCACATAATGTGTTTGAAGTATGATAATTTGAGCCTAGTCATTTGTGCCTGAAATGAAAACTCTGGGTTGATTTGCTCACAATCCACCAGTTTGTTTTCTAGGCTGTCTATGGTATTTTCAAGAGTCCTTCCTAACATCAAAGTTCAGAGGCATCAGTACTCTTCCACTTCTTCATCAAAACCCAACTTTCACTTCTTGAGTGTCACAGGGAATACTCTGACTTGCACAATTCTGATTTTTCTAGATATAGACTATAGGATTTGAATATCTTTCCAAGGCATTCTTGGTATTCTACTATATTATTCAAGAAAATATGTGCAGCTGGTGAAAATTTCACTTAAATATTGATCTTTCATGCAGAAGGTACAAGAGAATAAAAAAGCAATTATTCATATTTGTATCTGCAAGTTTTGCCAATAACTTCTCTTTTGTCAAATAGGTCCATGGACAGCTTTACTCAATCTTTGAATTTACTTTGGAATTTAGTGTCAAATTGTTATGTTGTACAGTATATTGTTGTTTATTATCATTCAGAATTATCTATAAAAATCTATGCTTGGAAAAGGAAAGGAATAAACTGTTTTGTCTTTGTATGTGTATATGGAATTGACATACAATCTTACTAGTATAGTGGTTTGGAAGTTTGGTGTGATATATTAGGAACTGGGAGACTGTGAATTCTAATCCTCCCTTAACTGTGAAAACCAGCTGGATAATATTGGGCTGGTCCTTTTCCTGTAGCCTAGCCCACTTTACAGGTTGTGGTGGTGAAAAGGAGGCAGCAGTGTTATGTACTATAAGACTGCTTTATAACACTGCCCAGTTCCTATACTTGGGCAGCCTGGCTGGCTTTATACACAACAAAAAGATGGGATGTATCTTTATGGGTAAATGGAAACAGCTGTGGAACACGAGTAAGTGGGTGCTCTTTGTACATGTCTTGTTATCCCACTTACCAGGGCATCCTGATGGCCACTGCAGGAAACAGGAAACTCTGAAAGATTCTTTTCAGAGGTGGGTTTCAGCAGGTTCTGACCAGTTCTGGAGAACCGGTAGTGGAAATTTTGAGTAGTTCAGAGAACCGGTAATAAAAATTCTGACTGGCCCCGCCCACATCTATTTTCTGCCTCCCAAGTCCCAGCTGATTGGGAGGAAATGGGGATTTTGCAGTAACCTTCCCCTGGAGTGGGGAAGGAATGGAGATTTTACAGTATTCTTCCCCTGGAGCAGGGTGGGAATGGAGATTTTACAGTATCCTTCCCCTGCCACGCCCACCAAGCCATGCCTACCAAGCCATGCCACGCCCACTAAGCCACACCCACAGAACCGGTAGTTAAAAAAATTGAAACCCACCACTGATTCTTTTGATAAACTTCAGCAAGTGGCTTCTAACAGTGCTCCAGTCTTCTCAAAGCAGGCTTTTAAGTTCACAAGGTGGAGAAGTGCCCTACTTTCCTCAGAACAAAGTAACAAAATAACAGAGTTGAAAGGGACCTTGTAGGTCATCTAGTCCAACTATCCACCCAAGCAGGAGACCCTACACCATTTCCGACAGATGGCAGTCCAGTCTCTTCTTGAAAGCTTCCAGTGATGAAGCTCCCACAACTTCTGAAGGCAAGCTGTTCCATTGGTTGATTGTTCTCTTGGTCAGAAAATTTCGCCTTATTTCTAGGTTGAATCCCTCATTGATCAATTTCCATCCATTATTCTTTATCTGGCCTTCAGGTGCTTTGGAAAACAGGTTGCCCCCCCCCTCCTCTCTATGACAACCCCTCAAATATTGGAACACTGCTATCCTGTCTTCCCTGGTCCTTCTCTTCACTAGACTAGCCATGCCCATTCCTGTAACCATTCTTTATATGTTTTAGTCTCCAGTCCTCTAATCATCCTGGTTGCTCTTCTCTGCACTCTTTCTAGAATCTCAACATCTTTTTTTATAGTGTGGTGACCAAAACAGGATGCAGGATTCTAGGTGTGGTCTTACTAAGGCTTTATAGAGTGGTATTAGTACCTCCATTGTAGATTAGGACACAAACTGACTTGTTCCTTTCCCTTTTGCAGGTAGTTCTTGACTTACAACCATTTGTTGAGCAACCATTTCTACAACGGCACTGAAAAACGTGATTTACAATGGGTACTCATACCTACAACCATTGCAGCATCCTCACAGTCATATGATCAACATTCAGGCACTTAGTAATTGGTGCATTGTTACAAGGATTGCAGTGTCCCAGGGTCGTGTGAGTGTCAATTTCAGCCTATCCAGCCAGCAAGCAAAGTCAATGCGGAAAGTGGGATTTGCTTAACAACTGTGTGATTCACTTATCTGCAGTGAAATTCAATTAACAAACCTTTGCAAAAAAAGAATAATAAAATCAGGCATGACTCACTTAACAACCTTTTTAATAACAGATATTCTGGTCCCAATTTTGGCCGTAAATCGAGGATTACCTATATATGACACGACCTCTGGCGCAAGGGAATATACATAAGCCCAGTTCCTATACTTGGGCAGCCTGGCTGGCTATTTACTGTAACACCCTTTTAAGAAAACAGGAAGATAGTAAATAATACTGACTTAATACATAAATGTGTACTATTCTGTAGCAAATGTATTAGAGGCGACCATAAACACAAACGAAATCTAGGATGCTGGAAACTGCCATATGTCTATCCAGGAATCTAGGAAGAATACCAAAGTAGGGCACAATTTCAGTTCAGGATTAGAAGTGAGAGGAGGCAGCATCCTGAGTCTCGGGAGAAAACACTGGGGCTCCCAGGGCATTAAAGTGCTGTTCTACACTGCAAACGGGCTGGAGCGGGAGTCTACTTTTAACTTTCTAAAAAAGCACTCAAGACCTGCCTTTTGCCTCCAAGTGCTGGGAAAGGGTGAGATTGGCAAAATGAATTTGTTTCAGGCTGCACGGGAAACTTAACCGTGATGAAAAAAAAAGTCTATTGGTTTTAATGTTTTTGGTTTAAATGTTTTCATTATCAATATCTTATTCGTTGGTTGTAAGCCACTCAATTGGTTTAAGATAGGTGGCTACATGGAAGGAAGGAAGGAAGGAAGGAAGGAAGGAAGGGATGAGATGACAGACGAGATGACTGACAGACACAGAACACTCAAATCTTTTAACTTAGTGCAAGTACAAGAATGCGAGGAAAGCCCCGACTAAGGAACAGAGTGAGGAGTGCGCATGCGTGCATCAGAAGCGAAGGCTTCTGAATAACCGAATTAACCGACCTCCACGTTTCCATTTTTCCAACGGCCTCCTGTGTTCAGCAGCGGCAGGCGGGGGGGGGGGGGGGCGGAACCTTTAGAACGATTCGACTCTCGACGCCCCGTTACGTCTCAGCCGGGCGGAAGAGCCGCGGGAGCTCTCGCTACTGTTTTTACTTCCGCCCGGCAGTACGTGGGAGGAACAGAAGCCGCTGTTGCTGCTTCTCCCTGCCTGAGAGATGCTGAGAGCCGGTCGAGAACCGCTGAATGGGGAAGGTACGTGCTTTGGCCAAGGGATTGCCTCGTTTGGTTTTTTCCTCGCCCTTCTCCGGTGCTCCTCTTCTGCAGCCCCCCCCCCCCCCATATTAATCCCTCCCTTTCCCACCTCCTTTCTCCAGGGTGATGATGATGGCAGAGAAGCCATCGCGCTCTGCTTCTTTTCTGGAGTTATTGGCCAACAGCCGTCAAGGGGTCATAATTGCACTGCAGTGAACGTAGGCTAACGATGGGACTCAGGCTGATGGAGCAAACTAAAAAGCGAGGCAATCTGGTGCGGAAAAGAAGAGTTAACAAAGGAATGTCTTGCTCAGGATCGTCTTTGCACTAAGTGCAAACAGTTCCATCTCCTGCTTGGGCAGGGGGTTGGACTAGATGACCTGCAAGGTCCCTTCCAAATCTGCTTATCTGTTAAATCTGTTTCACACCCACTGGCCTGCATTTTTGGAATAGCTGTTTTGTTTTGGCTACTGTTCCTACGATCATTAGCCTAACCCTAACTTTTGGCCACCGGGTGGGCGTAGTCCCTCCGGGGAGGTGCCTGGTTTCCTCCCTTGGGTTTTTCTATATATGTTATAACTCAGGTCAAAAAATACCACAGAAGAAGGGTTTGTTGTTGTTCTCATCCTGCCCTCAAGCAGGAAAAAAGGAAATTTGTTACTAATTTCTGGAGAGTTCTTTCAGCTGTTAACAATAAATAATTTGCAGAGAGGCAAAAGTAGGCTTGTGATGTTGATTTTTTTTGGGGGGGGATTATCACCTGGCCCCGGGGTTACAGTAAAATAATGTGATGATTGTTAAATCTTCTGTAAGAATAAACAACATCAGACTTTGGATCGACATGTGGCTGCATCATCCCGATTGTTCTGAAGAGAAATTTTGTACCTTGTTCCCTCAGGATGGAGCTGGAAATAATTTCCTGTTTGATTTCTCCTGTGGCAGGGATGAGACACACTATTGCATAAGCAGCAAACTATACTCAGGGTCAAATAATGCCACGATATTTTCTGATTTTATTACTAAAAGGCATTAATTCGTGAAGACTGATAAGAGTGTCAGAGTTCTAAAAGAAATGTTAACCCTTCCTCTTTCTTGGTAATCTTAAGAAAACACCTCCCCACCCCCATGTCATTTGCAAGGAGCAGGGGGAGCACTCCTCCAAAGCAATACTGTACATTGTTAGTCTCAGAATGCAGCAGGGAGCAAATGGAGTGGATTCCCTCCAGGCCTGATCTAATCCCATTGATTGAAGTATTTCTTTTTAATAAAAAAAAATTGGCACTGAAGAGTTTGAATATGGCAAGTTGAATCTGAGAATTTATTTTCCTTGACAAAGTTTAAAATAAGCCTGGTTTTTGTTTTTTTATTACAGTAATTTGCTTAAGCATTTTTTCAAGACATGAATGTACTAGGAATGAAAGCCTTGAATTGTTATCCTGCTCATTTATGTATTTATTTTTTCCAATTCATATGCAACAAACATCAGACGCTTGATTTGACGATGTGGTTAGGCTTTATTTTACGTAATGTGAACATTGTGTGCTTTTCATTTTGTAAATTACAAATTGCAATTCTGATAAGAATCAGTGCCTCTTCTGCAAGCATTTAATAACATAGGAAGCTGCTGTTAACCTTACTTGTTCCCTACATGAGAATTTCTGAAAACATCATGTAGAAGTTGACAAAACCCCTCTATCTTGTTTGGCCAGGAAATTGCTGGCAGTTCATTTCTTTATAAAGCCAAACAAGTATGGAATGATTATTGATAGCTAATTAGCTACCTTTAAACTCTCTTTATTTTCTCTTCAGCAGCAAGCATGAACTCAGATTCTAAAGAGCAAGATTTGATACATGAAGAGTTCACTTACATTTCTGGAGTCCCAACACAGATTCTCAAGTGTGGCCCTTGGGAAGATCTCTGGAATGATAAAAGTGCACCCAGACTTCTATTTCTCATTATCCCTGGTAAGTTTTATATGGTGATGGTTTGATACGTACGTTCTCTTGATCAAATCGGTTCTAAAGTGACAATTCTGCAGAATAAGAAAAGGCCAGTCAAGTCATCCTTTTTTAAAAAAGGAAATAGCAGAGAAATGAGACTGGAGGATGGAAATATTTATCTTTTTCTTTCTGCCGGAATTGTTCATGATTATTGTCAGATACTGGTTTTGGAGTAGAAAAGCTTCTTTCGGTTTTGGTGATTGAATATTGTGGCCATAGGTGGACAGATATTGCCTAGATTCCTAGTTTTGTCATTGAAAAAAAGGATAAACCTATTTTCTCAAGTTTAAGCATCTCTGTATTGATGAGTGAGCTATTCAGACTAAAGAGTTACTAAGGCTTTAAAAATGGATACCATGACATTATGAAGCAAGCAGGCACAAAACATGCAGATCCGGGAACAAACATGTTGCTTCAGAAGTATTCATGCAACATATACTTGAAACAACATAAATCATTAACATATGAGCAGTTAATTAATGACCATTCAAAGTTGCAATGGATCTCCCAGAGCTACTTACAATCTCTGCATGGAGTTACAATAGTTGCAACCCCCTGCATCATGTGGTTGTATTTTGGAGGCTTGGCAGTTAGCTCATCTTTGTGGCAGTTTGCAGTGTTCCATGATCACATAACCGCAATTTGTGATATTTTTGCCAGTTTCTGGCGTTTACTTTTGCTTTCCAACAAAACCCACCCATTGGGGAAATAGATTCATTTAATGACCACCATATTCATTTAACGACAGCATCATTTGCTTAACGATTGTCATAAGTGGTTGTAACTTAAATCTGGTTATGTGATGCCTTGACTTACATCCACAAAGATTTACAACCTAATCCCAGACTCAATTATGATAGTCAAGCACGACCTATAAGTGACAGTAAAGTGAGTTCCAAATCTTCACCATATATGTCAATTTCTCCCTACTGACACTGCAAAAGACCAAAGAGAGTGAGGTAACAGTGATTAAGATCGTAGAAGGAGCAAGGTTCAGGTCCACCCTCAACCATGGAACTTCATTGGGTGACTTTGAGTCAGTCTCTCACTCAACCCAACCAACCTCACAGGGTTGCTGTTTTCGGAAAGAACAAGGAGGAAGAAACACCATGCATGCCACTTTCTGCTCCAAAATGAAAGGTAGAATAGAATTTTAAATAAATACATTCATTTATTCCCAACTACTATTTCTGATTTCTACAGAATGGTCAGCAGTATCTCTGAAAGGAACATGAAGCCTGTAGTTCAGAGATAGAATCCCAATCAAGTCCCAGGTTTAATTATCTGGGTTCTCTCAAATAAAAGTGGGAAGCACTCCAATGGTTCAGTAGTCTAACCTGTCACAGGGCAGCTTCCAAAATTTGTATTTGAGAACATGGGAAGTGTCTATGGAGATACTCAATCAGCCAGTCATGGCTGTCCCAAAGGTGTTTTTTCAGGAGGCAACTGGACTTTCTTGTTTTTTCTTTGAAGATGTTTTGCTTTTCATCCAAGAAGCTTCTTCAGCTCTGACTGGATGGTGGGGAAAGGAAAGGTTTATATTCCTTGCAGACAGCTGGTCATTTGCATATATATATATACCCCAACGATGCCCTTGAAGTGATGTCCCAGTGCCTGGAGGCTGTGTGGATCTGGATGGGGAGGAACAGGCTCAAGCTCAACCCTTCCAAGACTGAGTGGCTGTGGCTCCCGGCATCCCGATATAGTCAGTTGACTCCATCACTGACTATTGGGGGCGAGTCTTTGGCCCCCACAGAAAGGGTTCACAATCTGGGAGTCCTCCTGGATATGCAGCTGTCCTTGGAGGAACATCTGACGGCTGTAACCAGGGGGACCTTTTGTCAGGTTCGCCTGATTCGCCAGTTGCGGCCCTTTCTTGATCGGGATTCCCTGTGCACAGTCACTCACACCCTCGTCACCTCTCGCCTTGACTATTGCAACGCTCTCTACATGGGGCTCCCCTTGAAGAGCACCCGGAGGCTCCAACTGGTCCAGAATGCAGCAGCGCGGGTAGTGACGGGAGCAGCATGGCGCTCCCATGTAACACCACTCCTGCACGAGCTGCACTGGCTCCCGGTGGTCTTCCAGGTGCGCTTCAAGGTGTTGGTCATCACCTTTAAAGCGCTCCATGGCATAGGGCCTAGCTATCTTCGAGACCACCTGCTGCTACCGACGACCTCCCATTGACCCGTGCGCTCCCACGGAGAGGGCTTCCTCAGGGTGCCATCAGCCAAACAATGTAGGCTGGTGACCCCCAGGGGGAGGGCCTTCTCCGTGGGGACACCTACTCTCTGGAATCAGTTGCCCCCAGAGATAAGGAGAATCCAAGACCTCAGTGCCTTCCGCCGTGCCCTTAAAACCCAGTTTTTCCAGCAAGCCGGGCTGGCTCAAGAAGAAATTTTTAAATGTTTTAATTGGTTTGTGATTTTTAATTTTTGGGCCAAATTTATATATATTTTAATTCTTTTTTAATATTTGTATTTCATGTTCTTAATTCTGGCTGTACACCGCCCTAAGTCCTCAGGGAGAAGGGCGGTATATAAATTGGAAATATAATAAAAATAAATAAATAAATTATATATTCAATGTCTACATAAACTCTGTTGTCTGGGTACAGTTAATTTTGATAAATAATAGTAATAATATTCATAACAATAATAATCACATACCGGTAGTAATAATAGCATTTGCTTATCCATTTTAGTGAACCTTCCTTATGTAATTAATCAGTCTCTTATACTTTGAGATTTCTTTCTGTTTCTGCTAGTTAGCCATTGATGAAACAGATCCATGTTAAAAAATATTCAGTTTCTTCCTTTTCCTTAATTTTGAGTGTTAATCTATCCATTTCTGCACATTCTAATTTTTTTTATTACGTTCTCATCTGTAGGGAGATCTCCATTTATCCATTGTTGTGCAAACACAATTCTAGCTGCTGTTAACACGTGTAAAATTAAATATGTATTCCCTTTATTATATTTTTCTGGTAGGATACCCAACAAAAATATTTCTGGTTTCAAATCTATATGTTGCTTTATCATTTTTTCTAACCATGTGTGTATTTTTGTCCAATATTCATTTGCATTCTTTTAGAGAGTCCTTGAGGCCACTTGGAGGTTTGTCTGTGTCCTCAGGGTCACCTGAGTAATGCAAATGTTTGTGAAGCCTTCTTGGCTGCAGGATATTTTCTGTCCTGGGTCCCTTCATTGTTGAAGACAGGCACAGGCTGTTGGGAATGAATCTGTGTTGTCTGCATCTCAAACTGAAGCACAGATGGTTCCTCTAGTTTGCAGTTTTTCTGGAAATCCATTCATACTCCCACACCATTCGAAGGGTGTTCCTCCCAAAGTCGATAGTTCAATTTTCCATTCCCCACCATCCAGTCAGAGCTGAAGAAGCTTCTTGGATGAGAAGTGAAATGTCTTTTTTTTTTTTTTATTTGATTTATATGCGGCCCTTCTCCGGAGACTCAGGGCGGCTGACAATGCATTAAGCAATAGCCTTCATACTTTTGTATATTTTATACAAATCAGTTTATTGCCCCCACAAACTGGGTCCTCATTTAACCTACCTTAGAAAGGATGGAAGGCTGAGTCAACCTTGAGCCTGGTGAGATTTGAATTTACAGTAATTGCAGACAGCTGGTGTTAATCACAATGCTTTTAGTCTGCAGAGCCACCAGGCCATCAGTCTTCAAAGAAAAACAAAAAAAATCCAGTTGCCTCCTGAAAAAGCATCTTTGGGAGAACTTGGAAGATTTGTGAGAAATCGTGTGAAATTATCAAATGAATGAAAATGATGTCTGTTGCCAAAGAATATCTGATACTTTATTAAGTCTCTTAGGCTGTTGTTCTAGGATACGAAACCATTCAACAAAACATGCATAAAAGAAAAATTATCCAGATATATTGTAATGATGTACACTGCATGAACAAATTGTAGCCACATTCTACATGGCATCCTTCTTTCCCTAATTTCTGTGTGTTATAATAGTAAGACATGGCTGCAATATGTGCCAAACTAAAATGTCATTTTGGAAATTGAGTCTGAAACAATATCAGCTGGAGAAACTGTTAGTCCTAGAAAGAGTTGTACAATCTTTGAACAACCACATTTGCACTTGGGAGTTTTTGGTGCTCTATCTGACATTTCAAAGGAAAGGCGTTTGGTCCTTTCTCCTATATAAGTATATTCATCGGCTTTATTTGAATGTGATGAGAAGAAGACTAGCATTTCCTAAGCTTGCATATTCTCATGTTTTCCTTTAGCACAACAGCAAGGAGTTCTAAAGCTCTCTTTTGCACTTTGGTTTGCACTTAAATGAAATTTGAAGCATTTGATCTTAAAAATGATGGAAGTAGAGTTTGATGACGTTACCAAGTTTGGTAATGAAATGTCTGCAAGAAAACAACCAGGCTCAGAGAGCATCAGTTCAATCCTGAGCTACAAGAATTCTCTTCTCTCATATCACAGTATCATTTTATAGTAAATGACTTGTGAAGAAATAAAAAATACAGTGAGGTGGCTAAAAGCCAGAGATGTTCTTAAAGCTTTTGCAATACTAATTTGCCTCATTTTGTTTGAACATTTCAGTGGAGTCTCTCTTAATGTTGGGATCAGATATATTTGTTCAAAGCAGTTCTTGCTCAACAGGTAATGTAGCCTATTCTACATTATGTCCGACTGTTAGGAACTGCTGAATAGGCATTTATTTATTACTAAATAAAACAATTGTGCTTTCTGACCACAATGTAGAAACAAATGTGCCAGAAGATGGTGCTGTTTTAAAGATAAGTACAGTTTTTTTACAGGTTTTTTTGGTATGGAGAACTTGATTTTCCAATAAAGTTGGGGGTTCCAAATAGCTGGTCTCACTGCATTCTTCCAGATATTTAAGTTGCCATGTATATGATATACTCCTTCACAGTCAAATAACATTTGATGTGTCTGAAGCTAGTTTCTGGGTCATTGGTTGTTTCCCATGATTAGATTTTTCCCAACAAGTAATCCCAGTGACAAAAGACTGAAGACTGCCACTTCCAAAATTGATTTAGCCGTCTGTTCTTCAAACCATTGCATATGGATGTGGAATTATTTCATTACCCCGAACAATACACAATGCCAAAACAATAATGAGAAAAGTTCAGAAGTCTCTCTACCTATTCTACATTAAGTCAAACTGTTAGAACATTGGCACCGAACTAATTAAAGGATCTGTATAATGATTTTCTCAGAGTTCAGTGGAGTAGGTGGAACAAGAATGTAAGGTACTGAGTGCTCTTTTTGACAGCATTTTTATTGTCTTCATTAAAAATTGTATTCACATTTGTGGCTCTTATTTCTACCCTTTAAAGGTATTTTTCAGTGTCAGTAGCTATTGTAATAGGTGATCTATATGATTAACTTTTATAATTGCTTTTTTCCTCCTCCTCTCTATTCCTTATTTTGTCTGTGATCTTTTCTATTTCCTTTCTAAAGAAAAAAATTCAGGTAGTGACACAGTTTATCAGAAGATAGAAATCTTCCCTGTCAGGGAAAAAAAAAGATTAATCACAGATATTAAAATCTACACTGAAGAATTGACTACAAAGCTTAACAAAAGTTGATTTCTTCCCAAGTCATTGATTATAAAATGATACTGTGCTGCTCATAGGAATGAGACAAATATTCTGTACCCCCCAGTGGAATGAATGGGGAAGAATGAAAATCTGTGAAGGAGTTAAAGCATAAAATCTTTGTTTTACCTTTGGTGGCTCTTCCAAACAATATCAGTTTTTTAAAAAGACAAGATTGTAAAACATGTTACTCAAAGAGCATTTACTTAACTCAGTTCTTTTAAATAAATTCTTCCCTTTCAAGTTACAGAAAATGCATGCATATTATGTGAATTTAAAAAACAATACCTTTTAAAACACATTTTGATTAATAGTTTTAGGGTGACAAACTCCCCCAAAATAAGTAAACTGCTCTCATTTGGGAGAAACAGGAACTAAACATTTCAGGAACTTGAAAAATGTGAATAATACACTATATTTGAAGACTACATTGCTGGAGAGGTCATACGTTTCTATAGTAAAGCAAATGCAATGGAGGAATTAAGTTCTACTTTTTTCCCCCCTGAAAACTCATTCATGTGGGGTAAATCTTTGGTAAGGTGAAAGTTGCCTGCTGAGTTGCAAAATTATTTTTTAGACAAAGAATGAGAAATCCCATACAATCTATTTTCATTCCATGTTCAAGTATGATATATAAATGGACCATACAGTGAAAAATATTTGATAAATATAATTTGCACAAGATACAAGATAGATTACTTAATATTTCAGTCTTTTCAATGAATTGTGTTTTATTTGTGGCCTATACTTTTACTATACTTTTGTCTTTTTTAGGTAATCCAGGATTACCTGGCTTTTACCGGACATTCATTGAGGCTTTATATTTTAACCTGAATCAGCAGTATCCTGTATGGATCGTAAGCCATGGTGGACACTGTAAAATTCCTCATGAAATCAAAAGAAAGGAAGGTAGTTTTAACATCTTTCTTCTATTAGATTATTTATCATTGATGAATGCTTAGCCTATATAAATCAGCTGACAGCATCTTTTGTACTAAATTGTATGAAAATGGTGCCATGGATTTTACTGATGCTTTCATTTATATGTCTAGTTTTTTATATGTCTAGACTAGTTTTTTATATTTATTTAGGTGCTTATAAGGCTATTCCATTCAAACTCTCTGAGGCTAGGCAGTGTACAAAAGACACCCCAATTTTAAAAAATATAAAACATACTAAACCTTAAATATTGAACACTGAAAATGCCAACAACCTACCCAGGGGTACTCGCGTCAACCTAGTCACAAACCTTAGTGGGAGATCCAGGTGTTAACCATTTTCCTAACAGGGGTACATCTGGGGAAAGATCATTCCAAAGGGCAGCCAATAATAAGAAACTTAAAGATTAGGAAATATCTTCCAAGACACTTAAAAAGATGAATAGTGTTCCAAAACCTCAAATTATCATTATAGAATTGGCTTATCTTGGATCAACCTCTGGGATATAAAGCATTTTTAAGGACAAAAAAAAAGTAAACAAAGGCTTGACCTGAAAGCAGCTGTTGTGCCTGTCTTATACAAAATATTTGCTACTTGAATATGTCCACAGGTAGGTGGTTATTTATTTTGGAGCAGAAGATCCTGGAACAATAAGTATTGCTTCCTTTGGTTATCACCATAAGCAGCATGATTAAACTGTATAATTAAATGCCATCTCATAGCTAGAGGTCCTGCATGTAAAAGGCAGAGTTTTTTTTCTTGCCAATTGGTATGTACTTGAATGGAAGAATGTCAGAATAACCCAAAATTACAGGCTGTCCCCGCCCCCAAAAATTTCTCTACTGATTTTCAGCCTGCTTTCCAATTATTTTAGAAGGGGTTAGTGGTTTCTCAGGAATTAGTTTTCTGAACTAGAAGCACTTCTAGACCTAGTCAAGTCCTATTTCCTTCACACACCATGCCCTGAACACTTTGGAACCACCTCCAGTTTGGAGAATTAATTTCCAGAAAATCACTTGTCCATCCCAGGAACAGCCGGAATGACATGGCCTGAGAAAGAACAGAGCATTCTAGAATTTTCAGGAAAATTCCACTGTGACCGATTGTTTTTATTCTGTGTATCACAACACTTTAGTCTTGATGAATTTAAATTCATGCTCTATATTTTACACAGTGGGGATATACACACACAAACACACACATTGGTGTACCAAAAATCAGGCTCCATAGACAGTTTATTATATAAATCACATTAAATGTTCAAATTAATTGTCATTTTCTACCAAAAATTTCATTACTCATTTGATGGATGACCTTTGAACATTCCTAAGTATATGGTAAATAAGACTATTGGAAAACATATTAACATACAGATGGGTTTGCTGATCACGTACCTGGCTCCCTGCCACGTGGCAGCAGCCCTGCCCGAGCTACTCAACATCATTGCCGCGGTGGCGGTTGACACCCCCAGACTTATGGTCATGGGGGATTTCAACCTGCCGTCCGTGGGTGAGACGTCTGAGGTGGCTCAGGAGTTCATGGCTTCCATGACAGCTATGGACCTGACTGAGTTAATTCATGGCCCTACCCACATGGGGGGAAACACGCTGGATCTGGTTTTTGTCTCTGGACAGTGGTTGAGTGATCTTGAGATAGGGGATATAGTCATCGAGCCCTTGTCATGGTTGGATCACTCTCTCCTTTGTCTTGACCTTCGAACTGCTACACCCCGCCGCAGGGAGGCGGAGTGGTAAGATGGTTCCGCCCCAGGCGCCTGATGGAGCCTGATAGGTTCCAGATGGAGCTTGGGCCATTCCCTGAGGCTCTGGCACACGCCTCGACTGGAGACCTAGTGGCTGCCTGGGATAAGGCGGCTGCTGGGGCTCTGGATCAGGTCGTGCCTTTGCGGCCTCTGACCCGGCGCCGATCTCACCTGGCTCCTTGGTTCACTGAGGACCTAAGGGAGATGAAGTGCCGGAAAAGACGCCTAGAGAGTAGTTGGAGGGCCAGTCTTTCTGAATCCGACCGGACACTAGTAAGATCTTATATTAAGAATTACCTAGTGGCAATAAAAGCAGCAAAACGTGTTTATTTTGCTGCTCTTGTTGCATCATCAGATAACTGCCCGGCTGCCCTGTTGAGGGTGACCCGCTCCCTGCTCCACCAGGAAGCGCGGGAGGACCCCTTGGAGGCTAGAGCCGAGGACTTTGTTCAGTATCTGCATGACAAAATCACTCAGATTCGGGAAGACCTGGACTCTGACTGGGTAGTTCCAGGGGGGATGACTAAGGCTGGTCTTCAGAAGGTTATCTGGGATGAGTTTGATCCTGTGACTCCTGATGATGTGGACAGGATTCTGCGTAGACTGAATGCGACCGCATGTTTGTTGGACCCATGTCCCTTCTGGTTAGTGCTGGCTTCCCGGGAGGTTATGCAAGGCTGGCTCCAGGGGATTATAAATGCTTCATTGGGTGAGGGTGACTTCCCCGCCACCTTGAAAGAGGCGGTAGTGAGGCCTCTCCTCAAGAAGCCTTCCCTGGACCCAGCAGTGTTGTCTAATTATCGTCCGGTCTCCAACCTTCGCTTTGTGGCGAAGGTTGTCGAGAGTGTGGTTGCACGACAGTTCCCCCAGTACCTGGATGAAACGGCATATCTGGATCCGTTCCAGTCGGGCTTCAGGCCTGAGTATAGCACAGAAACGGCATTGGTCGTGTTGGTTGATGATCTCTGGAGGGCTCTGGACAGGGGTTGTTCCTCTGTCCTGGTCCTATTAGATCTCTCAGCGGCTTTTGATACCATTGACCATGGTATCATGCTGCACCAGTTGGAAGAGTTAGGGGTGGGGGGCACTGTGTTGCGGTGATTCTCCTCCTTTCTCTCCAACTGGTTGCAGCCTATGTTGGCAGGGGGGCAGAGGTCGACCCTGAGGCCCCTCATATGTGGGGTGCCACAAGGGTTGGTCCTCTCGCCCCTTTTGTTCAACATTTATGTAAAACCACTGGGCGAGATCATCGGTGGTTTCGGGGTGAAATACCACCAGTACGCTGACGACACTCAGCTGTACATTTCTACCCCGGACGACCCCAACGATGCCTTTGAAATGATGTCCTGATGCCTGGAGGCCGTGCGGATCTGGATGGGGAGAAACAGGCTCAGACTCAACCAATCCAAGACCGAGTGGCTGTGGTTTCTGACGTGCCGATATAGTCAGTTGATGCCATCACTGACTATTGGGGGCGAGTTGTTGGCCCCCACAGAGAGGGCTCGCAACTTGGGTGTCCTCCTGGATTCACGGCTGTCTTTAGAAGAGCATTTGACAGCCATGACCGGGAGGATTTTCTATCAGGTTCGCCTGATTTGCCAGTTGCGTCCCTTTCTGGATCGGGACTCCTTACACACAGTCACTCATGCCCTCGTCACTTCCCGCCTGGACTATTGTAATGCTCTCTACATGGGGCTCCCCTTGAGGGGCACTCGGAGGCTCCAACTGGTGCAGAGTGCGGCCGCGCGGGTGGTGATGGGAGCGACATGGCACTCCCATGTAACACCTCTCCTGCGCGAGCTGCACTGGCTCCCGGTGGTCTTCCGGGTCCGCTTCAAGGTTTTGGTCACCACCTTTAGAGCGCTCCATGGCTCGGGACTTGGTTACTTACAAGACTGCCTGCTACCACAAACAGCCTCCCACCGGCCGGTACACTCTCATAGAGGGGGGCTCCTCTGAGTGCCATCGGCCAAACAGTGTCGACTGGCGGCCCCTAGGGGGAAGACCTTCTCTGTGGGGGCACCTACTATCTGGAACGAGCTCCCCCGGAGAGACGAAGGATCCCGGATCTACGCACTTTCCGTTGCGCTCTCAAGTCCTTTTTATTCCACCAAACTGGCCTGGCCTAATTTTTCCTCTTTTTCCTTTGTTCTTTTTATAATATATGTTTTAATCTGTTTTTAAATTATTGGGATGTTTTAAATTTGTCTTGGGCCAAATTGTTTAATTCGGTTTTATTCTGCTTTTAAATTTTGTATTTATGTGTTTTACTTTGTGGCTGTTCACCACCCTGAGTCCTTCGGGAGTAGGGCGGTATATAAATCTAATAAAACAAACAAACAAACAAACAAACAAACAAACAAACATATCATATTGTGATTAGCCTGTAGAGGCTGACTTTTGGTGCATTCTGTGTGTATGTGTTAAGTGTCTGTGTTTGTCCTATTATACTAACACACCCTTTGGTAAAAGGTTAGTGCTTATGACATTGCAGCTCATTTTATTTTGGTGTCGAGTTTTAAAAACATCTGCACAATGTAACTAGATATTTTTGCTACTGAAGTTGCAGAGTGCCTTATTGTTAAAGATTTACCTTGTATCATTTTTAAAAATGCACAAAGGAATTATGTAGGGCAGTGTTGGCGAACCTTTTCGGCACCGAGTGCTGAAACGGGAGTGCGCGGGAGCGCTGGAAACCATAAGAGCAGTTCCCCGGTGCGCATGCGCAGGGGTGCCAGAAACCGTAAGAGCAGCTCCCTGGCGGGCATGCGTGCACCAGGAAGCTGAGCTTCCGTTTTCCGGCATGCGCATGCGTACCGGTCACCTGGTCGTCTGATTTCTGGCACTCGTGTGTGCGAAGATCAGCTGCGCACCGGAAAGTGGAAGCTCAGCTTCCTGGCGTGCGCATGCCTGCCAGGGAGCTACTCGTCCAGTTTCCAGCACTCCCGCCCATGTGAAGACTAGCTGGTAGCACACATGTGCGCACTGGAACCTGGAAGAGCAGCGGGCAATGGTTGACATGCCCAGAGAGTGCCATAGGTTTGCCGTCACGGCTGTAGGGCAACATGATTTTTATGTATATTTCTGGATTGATACTTGTAGTATATTTGAAGTATATATGACTATTTAGCCAGGGAGTTGAAATTTAACACAGTGAGATTGCCTGCTCATGTTTAGTGGGATTGTTTGGGACTACATTTAGTAGCAA